ATGCATAAACCCTCGAGGCGCGAGGCCCTTCGGACCACGAGGTATAGGCGGTGGCCCACGTTGCTTATGCCTTACGCTGCCCTTGGTTATAGAAATGATGTAATTTGAGTATAAATTATTTATAGATGCGTATGTCAAGTTATATTTTTATTACGACGCAAAATACATTTAAGAGTTTACGACCACTGTGCCGGGTGAGACGTTGTTGAAACAAAAAATGCTATGCATTCCATCACGTACATACACAGTGTCGTAATTGGCTAAGTGCAAATTAGCAAATTCGTAAAATTTTTGTTTATTTTTAACAATCCGGATAATCGAAAATCCGGATAATGGAGGTCCGGATAATCGAGGTTTTACTGTAATTCAAATGTTTCAATATTATTTTTCTGTTTAAAATGTGCAGACTTTCTGCCATTTTTGGAATTTAATATAAGCATTTGCGATAATTTTATGATTTTGTACTACAAGTTTAATTTATAGTTGTCCCCTACTTCGTATTTATGAAATATTTTAAAGTTAGTGCGGGGCAAAAGTGCAGGTTTCAAGTAATTTGCAGATGCCTACTGGTCAAACGTGATCTCACTCTGACTTTAGTTTTCATTATCTAAAAAAAGTCGATTCCATTTTGCCAATGTATCGCCTAAATACCAAATGCTTTCTTTCCTGTAACTAGTTTAAATATTTTACTTTTTTTCTTTTTTATACAAAAAATCATTCGGTTAAATAAAGAACTTGATCAATTAACATATCAAATTAATAAATAATTATATTTTAATTAATTAATATCAAGCACGAGTCTAAATCAAACCCTAAGATATAGCCTAATATGTAACAAGCACTTTTCTCAATTAAATAATAAGTTTAAAAACATAGGGTCCTAAGCTGTAGATTACTTAACTTGTTTATAAACCGATACTATATAACTAAGAAATCTAACATGTAGACTCTCAGCTTTTCAACATACGTAGAGAAAAGGACCTCTTATATACATTAGGCCCCCTCTCTCTGAGGTTTATTTGGAATACAGTAGGCCTATTATATCAGGCTTCTTATATATGTCAGTGATCTCTATCATGTCAGTGATGCTTTAAACGAAACTGAGAACGATTGCAAGTGAGATGTGAGCAGCGAAAACAGTGTTATTCCAGAAGAGTCTAATATGGAAAGTAAAGAGATTTCCGACTTCACTATCATCGAATGTAATAATATATACATAACTTACTTTATTTGCAGTAAATAATGAATACTTTTATGTCAAGAAAATTAGTTATGTTGGCATGAATTTGTCTATTTTAAAAAAATCCGTGTATGAGCATGTAAAAATTAAAGCGCGTTTTAGATTCGAGTGAATATGGTATGTACTGTATATAGGCTATATTATATAATATTGCGTAATAGTAATATATAATATAATATAATAATGTAATAATATATACATATATATTATATATATGTAAGGTATGTAGCATNCAGCTTTATTTAGTATTCCTTCGTCATTCACTCATCTCCAAATATTTGAAAATATTTCCTTTTCACTCAAAAATAAAATATGTATAAAAGTTTACGGCTTTGTGAAACTTCTTTTTTGGGTTTATGCCGTTGAAATAAATAAATAAATAAAAAATAAAACAATTTGTCGGTTTTGTTTACACGTTTATTGGGCCGCACTGGAACTTGCCTTGGGCCGCATCCGACCCGCGGGCCGCGGGTTGGACACCCCTGCTCTAAAGAGATTGTAAACCTGTTCCATCTCCGATAGATTCCATGAAAAAATTCCAACAAATATCAGAAACAGGCAAAAGGGGGGAAAGAAAAGTTAAAAATGGCACAAAAGTGAAATCGATTGTTACATGATCCAAAGTATTTACGATAAAGTGAAAAATAAACTCAATAACCTGGAGAAAATAATATAAATGGAGCAAAAATGTAAGAGGTCCTCGCTAAACGATATCCTTAAATAAAGTATATAATAATAAATATAATTAATAAATATCATGAGATCTTATAATAAAGCTCTTATGATATTTTCGCAAAGTAAAGCGCAGCAGACAGGAAATGTCTTCAAGATTTCTTTCGTCACACCTAAAAAATGGTGCTCCATTGCACTTCCGTCGAGATGTTACGACGTTTTTAAACGATCCGACTTTTCCTGGACGTTTGATCGGAAGAGCAAGTCCAACTGACAGGCCACGCGTCTTTGCTGGATGCTTTTGTATTGGGCTTTATTGAAGACTTTACCAGAGAGTTTGAAATTTGGACTGTGAAACACGTATCGTTTCAGCAATTGCTCTAATAACGTATCAAATACTACAATACATTTGGCAAAAACTTTAGAATCCTTTTGGCATCTATCAAGATACAAAAATTGCTCACAAACTTTACTAAACTTCATAAAAACTTGATGATTTACTCTGTTTAATATCAAAAGAAAATTATTTTAATAAACTTTATAAATGCATAGATATACTGTATTTAAGTATATCTCTGGCACAGAAATTCTGTATATTTTTAAAGCCAAATTTATTAGAATTTTAAATTGAAATGAAATATTTTTACAAAGCATTTATAATTTTTTTAAATACCGGTAAGATGAGCATTGCTATCAATTTGTTAAAAGATTTCTGACATAATACTTTGATATAGCGTAAAAGTTAGAAAATTATTTTCTTCAATACCAAGAGTAAAAGCAATTTCACTACGAAAAATTTCATTACATATTTTTATTATTAGATATATTTGATACATTTCATCTGTTATTCTTGATTTTTGATATTGCGATATTAATCGAAAAAATATTCTTGAAATATTTCAAATTATCACGCGTTTGAAAAAAAATGAAATATTTATAACTAAAATATAGAGGAATAATATGTGACATTTTTCATAATATTTAATTAAAGATTTATATCGTGGAACAGAAAATTAATGGATGTTTGTTTTGAAAGCTTTCTAACAAATTAATATAAAGAAGATTGAGTTTAATACGAAACTTTAGAAAAAGCAAAATCTGAGCTAAATTTTTTCCAAAATACTCATAAACTTTGATAAAGTGAAATACAAAACTTCAAAAAAATGAGGAAAGAATTATCGATTATTTTAACGGTAATCAATCGGTTACTTTCTTTTAACCGTAAATCAATTGTTTTAATTTGTTTCAAATGTGAAACAAGTTATACAAGAAGCAAGAAAATATCCCGATAAAATTTTAATCGAGATATTAAACAGTTGAATCATTTAATAAAAATATTTAAGTAGCATACCTGATATATATTTTATTACAAAAAGCTATTTTAATGATAAGTAAAAAGAAAAAAAAATATATGATGATGATAATAGTGAAGTCATATTTAAGCATTCAGATTCCATATATAGTACAAAGGCAACTATTTTAAATCCCTGCAATCATACTTTTGAAATATAACAAACATTTCTTCCATAGAAAAAACTGTGGTTCAAGATCAAACCAACTTGCTTTTGGAACTGTTATAGCTTACTTGGGGAAAATGCCTGTAGAATAAAACAAGACACTAGTTTTCAACTTTTCTGATAATCTTGTAGTCAAATTCGAAGCTAAAATTATATTTCTAACATAAATGTTAGAAAATAATATTATTATCTAAGGATTTATTATTAAATATTATAAAATAGTGTATGTATATGTATATATATAATTCCTATTTAAAATAAATAAAATTGAAAATGGATAATAGATAGTAGAAATTATATTGAACAAATTCATATTTGGTAAATTACAATTTATCACTAGTCAAATCGTTTTGGATTAAAAAATAGACTCAAATCTTCCATTAAAGGTAACTCTGTATTAATACACTTCAGTATCTCTCTTAAAACGTTTTATTTTCAGATAGCTTAAAAACTCAGCAAATCGTATGACAAAGAATTTTAATTGCAGTAAATTTTACCTCAATTGTAAACGATTCACAATTAATTGCAATTTTTATAAACTATTTTTATTGACTACCAAAACACTATGCAATAATTCATGCAATTTTTTATGATTTCTTTATCCAATATTCTTAGTATAAATTATATTACTTTCCAGAAGATGTTTGCATTTTATCAAACGAATAAAATGCTATATATCATTTTTCCTAGTCTATTTAATAAAATATTCTATATTTAACTATTGATGTATGTTATAAATATTTACTAAGTTTAAATATTTTAAATTTTATAAAAATTTTCAAAATTTTTAAACGAATGATTTAAAATGACTTTTAAAATCCCACAACATATGATCAATCTACAGTCAACAAACTTTACAGTTCCAGAAATTTTAACTTAGTAGAATTAGCAATTTCTTGTAAAACTTTCCTAATTAAACTTTTATTTTCAGAAAAGAGATTCGTCCATTGAAGAAAAAAGTGAAATATTTATCGTAATAAAAAATTTAAAAACAAGTTTATTTATTTTTTCTTAATAAAGAACATTGATAGAAAAACGGATGTTATAGAATAAACGGGACGAATTCCACTACAATGCACGCTATAGTTTTATCCCTGACCAACATTTCTCTACCAATTCTTGGAGCTTCATCAAAATAACTGTAGTTAAGTTACTTGTATTTCTTTTTTAGCCTTAAAGTAAAAATTAAATTCAACAGAGATTTTAAAAAGTTCGTTAATGTTGTTTAGTCACAGACAATGGAATTACTTTCTTAGTGATAAAAACTTTTTTATGCTAAATTTAGATTCTATTAAAATAACTTTTGTCCTAGAAACTTTTTTTTATATTTCTGTAAAGTTTAAATTCTTAAAATTTATAAAGTTTTATACAAAATTCTAAAAACGGTTTTCAATTTTAAATGGAATACTTCTTAGTTAAACTAAGAACATTATCATGTAATCAGTTTTATTAGAAATTTATTTATATTTTCCTCTAAAATTTTAAAATTAATCAATATAAAATATAAACTGTTACCATTTTAAGAACAGTGGCGTACAGAAATAATCAATATTTAAACGTGCTATATTTACCTTTTATAATTAGAATGTATCCTGAAAATATGATCTCTAGAATGTCAAGGTAGAACATTTTGTAAGACAAAATATATATAGCTTTAATATAATAGCCTAACACATGCAATATTTAAAAAGAAAAAATATACCTGTAGTTAGGAATAGAGGAAAAACTGTCCAACGAACAGACTGTTTGTAATTGAAGTAAAAATTTAATCTGTTAATGTTTACTTGAATTACTGTACATANCTGTGTGATAAATTAATAAAATATAAATTACAAGAGTGACTATTATAATCTACTAATTAAACTATTTACAATAAGTACTGTACTGTACCTATTGTTCCTATTTAGTTTCCTATTTAGTATTATGTATATTATAGTTTGTTAAACTAATTAATATCAATTAGAACCTACATTTCCGATTTCCTCAATTCGTTTCAGCAACTTATAACAATCAAAGAGAACTTATATATAGTCTATAAGCTATACATATACTGTATATAGCTTAAAGGATGTTCGATAAGTAAATTGATAAAAGTAAACTAACTGTATTTTGATTTTCATATAGGCTACTTTGAAATTTTATCTACACTTCCTACATGTTAAATTATTATATAAAACGACAGGAGTGGATTTGACCCTCTTATGACCTCCAGTCTGAAGCATCTTTCACATACCGCCCATAACTGCTTTTCCATGTTCATGTGTAACACTTTTGCTGATCCTGGTCAATGAGTTTGATTTGCGGAAAATCATTTTGGTTCCTCGAACTCCAAAACTAAATCCTAGAAATTTTAATTCCTCACGCTTGGAATAAGCTTAAGGCATTATCATTTCTGCGCACAAGCTGAATGTTTTTAGGGACTTTGGTTAAATGCTGTTAATCTGTTGGAGCCGGAACATTAGAAAAATCAATTTTTTCTTTAAGCATTTCGTTTAGATACTATTCTGCATTGATATGTTTCTGGCATATTGGAATGTTCAGAAACATTCCAATATGCCAGAAACATATCAATGCAGAATAGACGCATATTGGAATGTTCAGAAACATTCCAATATGCGTCTATTGGCTGCCAAATCATGTAGCCTACTACTTTGTAAATTTGGTTTGCATTTTTACATTTTGCTCTTAAGCCAGAGCAAAAGGGTTTTAATTATAAACTTTCTTCCAGGAATTTCTTCAGTGTCAAATGAAAACTTTTTCGTATCGTTTTCAAAGTACTACTTTTGAACGCGTTCCTGCAATCCTGTGCACTTTAGTACAGTTCTTTATACTGTACATTAGCTTTGATTCTCAGTTTATGGACTTTAATCGTATGTGCAGTAATTACTTACAGTTTATGCATAGTAAATTCTTCATTTTCATTTTGGATTCCGGAAAGCGAATGCTCAAATTTGGATTTTTAAAAGCAAGTGATCCCCGTTGCAAGAGCATTATAAATAATGGTCTTGCAACATACTTGTTTTGGAGCACAATTTTACCACCTTTCCGACAATTTTCTGTAAATTGCACTATTGGAAACCTTACATCTCAAAATTACCCAAGTATAAATGGCCTTTCTTTCACAAAATGTTTTTTTTTTGGCAGTTGCGTTCTGTTTTATAGTAATAGAAACTCGTTAAACAAGCAGTCCATTTCCTTTTACGTTTAATTTTTGCAAAATTACAAAATAATGTGTTCTCCAAATTTACAAGCACAGAATAAAAATATTTTTACATGTACCGGTACATGTGATTTTATGTCAATTTATTGATACTTATTGAACAGCTTATATGCACACACACATATATAGCCTATATATACAGTAAACGTCAAAATCCTCCAGAAAACGCAGAAGACTATTTTAAAGAACTGGAAAATGTTGCAAAGCACACATTTAGTACGAGAAACTTTATATACGTAAACATATAAGTATGCAAATAAATATAAAATAATTATCTGATCAACATAATTATTTTATTAATAATAGTAACACACAAAGAACGCAGGAAACTATTTTAAAGAACTGGAAAATGTTGCAAAGCACATTTAGTATAAAAAAAAACTTTATATACGTAAACATATAATTATGAATATAATTACAATATAATTATCTGATCAACATAATTATTTTATTAATAATAGTAACACACAAAGAACATATGCATTGGGAGGATTTTGATGCAAACAAAAATCTATATATTTGTGGGAAAAATACACTTCAATAATCAATACAACCTTCCTTTAGCCTTTAATATCTTCCTGATGCGATCAGGCATAGAATTAATAATATTCCTGCAATCGTGCAATGTTATTTTATTCCACACACGTTCTCATAATTGGTGGATAATGGTGCTTTCAGGAAGTGCTGCATAGTCAAACAAGCGACGTTTAAGAAGAGCCCAGATGTATTCAATCGGGTTGAGATCAGGCGATTGAGGCGGCCACTCAAGCAGGCTAATATTTTGATCCCGAAGCCATGACATTGCCCTCCTGGATGGGGTTGTTTTGGGCCATTATCTTGCTGATAAATAAAAGAGCTATCAATATGGTAATAATCAATAGATTGTAACAAATAATTGTTAAGTATTTCAGTGTAAATAACGCTATCCATTCTATTAGATAGAACATAGCATTCCAGGCCAAAAGTAAATAATGCAGCACCAGACCATAAGACCACCACCAACAAATTTCAATGTTGTTTGTACTTCTCGCTCAGTTATAGACTTCATCGATGTAGTCCATACCCATTTTCGCCCTTCTGAACAAACTCTATTCATTTTGGATTCATCTAACCATACAATCTTCTTCCAATCTTCTAAAGTCCAGTCTTTGTAGCATTTGGCAAAATTAAAACGTTTTTATTTTATGTAATTTGGTAAGTTTAGGCTTCTTGGGCTTTCAAATTGTTTTTAGACATCTGCAGATAGCTAAAGTACTCACTTATATTCCTAAGCCATGTTTCAATTCCCTCTTTACTTGTGATGGTGTATCGCAACGTCTACTCGTTATCAAACGTATGCAGTGCCTTTCTGTTTTGGTGATTAACGTTTTCTTCCTCCAGCTCTTAAATTTTCGTGATATGGTAGCTCACTCGTTTTTATTCCGGATACACTCCAACGCCCAACGCCAATTTCTAATGCTTTTTTCAACAGAAACTTTTCTTCGGCAGGTTCACAATACGGAGTTCTTTCTTTCTTTCATAAAATGGTCAATTTGGAGTGTGCAGCTCATATAGGCTATTTACTCCGAGAGACGATATGGACGCATGCGCCCGATTAGCCGGCCTTTAAATGGAATGGCCATACGCGCGAGGGGGGAAATGCCTTCCGGGAGATCTTTTTAAGGGAAACTGGCCCCTATTCACGCGTTACAGACATGGAGAAAACCCGGAAAACTGATCAATAGCTAAAGCATACAGAACAAGACCGACGAACGCATTATAAGTAATTTCAAACTTTCTACCACTAGACCTAAAAGTTTTAAAAGTATATTGGAAATACCAACTTTTAGATCAAAGGGCAAAGAGCATTCAAACTCCCATTGTTAATGCTTCCATGGAGGAACTTATAAAAGACATCCAGAACTATGGCCTGGACTCACAGCAAAAGACTAACATGGTTCACCCTGCTGAACCAAACCCGGAAATTACCGAGGCACCAGCAGTAAATGACAGAACGTACAATGTGTTTACTGACGGATCGAAATCTGCCGAGGGCGTTGGGTGCGCATTAGTTGTTAATAACACCTCTGGAAAGTCAATTTACCAGGCCTGCTTCAAGCTAGGAATGCAATGCTCAAACAACCAAGCCGAATGTTTAGCTATTTTGAGGGCGTTGCAATATATCAGAGACAAGCCGATGTTCAGAAACAAGACAATACATATCAACAGCGATAGCAAAACGGCCCTAGCCCAAATCAGGAATCTACGCACAAAGTTAACTATAGTTCAAGAAACCATCAACCTTCTGATGCTACTTAGAGGAAAAGGGATAAAATCCTCTTAAACTGGGTCAAAGGGCATGCTGGAATAACTGAAAAACGAACGAGCCGACCTACTCGCAAAAAAGGCGGCTAAGGCTGACATGCCCATCTCTTTCAATACCCTTCCATCGAGCCTGGTCAAGTCCCAACCAAACAACATCATGACCAAAATCTGGCAACAGAGGTGGGAAGCAGAAAAAACAACAGACTTGCCTTCCAATTTTTTCCAAGCATTCAGGACAGGAGGCACATGTCTTTTTACCATCCAAACTTCATTACTACCCAAATCGGGCACGGGAACTTCAGGACATACCTGAAGCGTTTCCTGAACAAAGGGAATGGGAAATGCCCTTGTGCCCTAGCTGAGGATCAAGATGTGCAGCATATCATCTTTTTTGTGCACTAAATACAAAAATGAAAGACGAATTTTAGCGAGCACTCTGTATGACCGTTGTTTTCACTGGCCATGCCAGTTGAAAGTCTTTTTCACAAATCAAAACACCTTACAGGCTCTTGAAACTTTCATCAGAGCTACAGACATTCTAAAGTATAACAGCTAGGCAAACTATTCAGTGGTTCCCCTCTCGTTAGAGAGAGTTGTACATACATGTTTCGTTTTGGTCTCATGGCATGGCAAGACAACTGCTGGGGCCCTCTTCTCATGCATTGGCTGTATTGTACATATGCGATTGTTTTCTTTTGTTACCTCCAAAGCCATGGAGGCCTTGTCTTTTGTATACACGCAACCGTTACAATTTGTTTCGTTTTATTTTATATTGTTATCACCAATGTCATGAGCCTTGTCATTTGTACAAACGCGAAAGTTTTCTTATGTTACCTCCTAAGCCATGGAGGGCTTTGTTTTTCCTCCAAGTGGGTTGTTCATACGCGTTTTGTGTATTGAGTTCCAAAACAAGTTAGCCTTTAGAGCTCCTACTGCCTCAAGTTGCAGAGGCAGTTATTCTGTACACAATTGTATGTTTGTAATTTGTATTAATTGGTGTTATACAATTGGTACTCGGTGGCGCTCTGAAGTCTCATATTTCACACTTTCCTGTCATTCTTTTCACTTCTACTATAACCCTTCATATTTCCTTTTCCGAGGCTATCCCTATTGGTAGAGGCCTTCTAATCCTTTGATAAATGTAAATGACCGTCCGAACGAGGCGTAAACCTACGACCGAACTCCCAGTGTTCAGTGTTCAGGGACGAAGACCGTTTGGCCACCAATACGGAGTTTCTTCTCACTGGAAAGTTTCTTCATGATGACGCAAATCAAGTAGCAGCTCATTTGCATATTCATACGCTAATATCTCGTTAATATGCACGAAATTACATTGTTTAACATTGCTGTTAAATTAATTTATGCATCAAAATCCTCCCAATGCAACAAGCAGAATTTATACACCATAGCTATTTTAAAAATATGAAAGTTATTTTAATTTTTTGCTGTTATGTGAATATTGTAATAATCTTACATTTGATTTATTTCCTTTTCCTTTTACTTTCGTATATCGAATAGTTTTTGCTATTTTTCTATAGTACGTACGAACTTTGGGAGGATTTTGACGCTTACTATATATTAACTATTTTGATTAGTAATACTAAATACTGTATATTAAAACTGCAAAAATAAAACGTTTTACATTAGTTTCTTTATCAATATATATCAATATAAACTATGAACGCTGTAGTACCTAATTATATTAAAATTTGCTGTATTAACATTTGAATAATTAACAACACTTTATTGCAATATATACTGTATAATTATCAAGTATTCGCACCAAAATTTTAAATAAATTACGTGGACCCAATCCGCATACACCCATAAAAGTTAGTGCCATTGCAATTATACACATATTCAATTATTATTCACTAATTCCAATTAATTATTCTCGTTAAAACATTATTAGATTTGAAAAATTTAGAATAAAATGAAAAAAATAAATAAATAAATTCAAATAGAAATACTATATAATATATAATATCTAGGCATATTTTTAATTTGATTATTAAAATAATACAAATAATAATATGTTAGATTGAATTGTCTAGCTTCAATCAACCATACGAGTGAATAATTCCGCCGGAATAACTTTTAATAAGCATGCAATCATTCTATAAATAAAAACAATAATTCATATTTGTTTGATGAATACATCCATTCTTATGATGCCAGTTTTCTTGGCAACTAGCTAAACAATCGAACATGATCGATGGTTAACCACATCCACAGCCTATTTAAACTATTACATGAAAAATTAGTTCAGTAATATCATTTTTTTTTCTTTCGCTACGTAATTTAAAAAATTATTTGTTTCTAAATTTTAAAGAGTTTTATTTGGATTTTTTTTTATCATTTCAAAATCATTTCGTTAGCTATTACATAAAGGTCAGTCTAACAAAAAAACCGTACCTTTCTATTTATTATTATGTGAAGTGATATAGATTATGGCAAACTAATACATTAAGTCTTCCCTGATTCTTTAAATATTAATTTGTTTACATTATGCATTATTAATTATTGATAATGTGGAAAGCAATTAATTGTTGCTTCTCTAGAAGATGGCAGCACGATTTGTCTCTAGAAAAAACATATATATTAATGGTTTATATAAAAACTAAGTTGAAAATCAACTATAAAAACTTATAATTGATCTATAGTTCAAAAATTTATTAGTTATATATAAATAATATAATATATATTATATATGTATATGTATGTGTGTTTGTATGTTCATTTCAAAACCGATAAATAATAAAATAATGTTTCAAGGATAAAGTAATTATCTAAATTACAAAATTCAGTTTTAACAGCGTTTTCAATTTAAAAACAATTTTTAATCGATAAAAGGAGGAGTTGCAAAACAAAACAAAGTATTATCCAATTTCTAATTATCACTGTACCAAGCTGTGTATAGAGTACCCAATGGAAAAACAATGGATACAAATGAAAAACTGTCAACTGTTTGTGCAATTCGGTGCCAAGCAATTAAATGCACAAAACAAGAGAATATCGATTAATTCTTACGTAAATATCAATAATTAAAACGTAAAAGTTAGAAAACGAAATCGATAGTACTATTAGTAAACATAATTTAAATAATGATAATAAGACAGTACATTAAAAATACACTTCCAAAAATACATCTTTATCGCTATAGCATCGATTTTATTTTAAAAGTAATAATAATAATAAAAACAATTTAACATTAGAAAATTTGATATTGAAAAATAATTGTAAAGATAAATTCTTTATTTAAGTTCGTATTGTAAATTCAATTATGTAAGGATGACATATTTTTTTGGAATTTTTACAATGAAATAGGATCAAAACATCAACTTTGGTAGCAAGAACAACATTGCATTTGCTTTTTACTCTCTTTTTTCTTTTCCTAAAAGAGTATTTAAATGACCTCCTTTACCACTAAGTATAATAATCCCTTTTGTGAGATATCGAAAATAAAAAAAATTAGAAGAATACTGAAAAATGCCTTCAAATATTTATTTTTAAAGTGTGACAAAAACTTCTTTAATGTTTAACCTCTATAATAAATTATTACAGTTCAGTATCAAATTTGTTATTAAGGTTCTTTGTTTAAGTAATAAAAAATTTCGAGCAACTTTAATCAATGTATTTAAAACTAATACTTTTTAATGAAATTATGTGATAGATTTTAAAAATGAATAATATATATTATAATAATCATAGCAATATTGCACTCAATAATATAATTTTTAATTTAAAAATTGATACTTTTGAATAACTGGAATTAGAAACTTTATACAAACATATATAGCTCTAAATATATATAAGTTTGTGCAAAATTTCTAATGCCGATTACTCAGAAATATCAATTTTGATATTGGCTCTTCTTGAACTTAACCACAGATATAATTATAAACCTAACGCGCAACTAAATTTTATCCTAAACTTCGCACAAATGCCTAACTCCTTAAAAATATTTTCACCTTACAATTACCTTATTTCCTGTAATAATCGTTCAGTGGACGATTTTTTTTTTTCATTTTTGGTGGGAGAATGTTGAGTAAAATAGTATTGGTGCTGTAAAGAAGGAAAATATCATTATTCCAAGAGACTTAAAGCTAGTTAAATCGCTATATAGTGAAAAATTTATTTAAAAATAACTTTAACTGTGTAAATTTTGATAATTCCCGATAATATCGAATACCACTAATATACCTGTATTTAGATTTTACCTTGCAATACAAGTTAGGTGGACGATTATTACAGGAAATACAGTAAATACAGTATTTTAATCTTTTAGTTTGTTTTACTGCAGATTAAATTACCTGTAAAAGAACAAGTAAAATAATCTTAATTTAGAAAAAAAACATTACTAAATATGACAATGTAATTGTAAAAAACTCTGAAATAAATTTTAAAGCGTTACTTCTATTAACAAGTATAACTTTCCTCTTCAATGTAGAATGACTTTGATACAGAACTGATAACAATCGACAGTATCTACTCAAGTACAGTGCATGCCATTAGAAAACAAGACGAAACGTGACTATCGAATCTAGTTGAATTTTTTCCCCATTTCTGTAGTGCAATGTCAGCGAGATTACTGTCTTCACTGGAGAATCTCGTCATGTAGACCTAGTCATCACAACATGCTAGATAGATAAATCCAGGACTTTTTTATAGCTTCAAGATGACGACAGTGAGGAGACCGTATAGCCATCCAACACGATATTGTTCTAAATTTACTAGGAGATACGACGTAATAGTTGTATGATCTAAAATAAAATCAATTTCTATTATTATATATATATGTACTGTACCATGTCTGCAATTTAGCAGTATGGAGTTATAAATAGATAAACTTTTCTATATTTATTTATAAATATGTAGATTAACAAAACTGTCTGGAGTTTTTATTAAAAATAGAATGAGTTTTAAATGGAGTGAAAAAACCCTAAATTCTTTAAAATTTAAATCATTTCGTTTATACAGAGAAATCCTGATGTTAGTCGAAATAATAGTAAAGTAAAATGTATTTGAAATCGGATCATTTTCTAAGACTTTAGATGATTTCGAAACAAAAAAACTAGAAAGGAATTCTTTTTTTAGATTTCTCTAGATTTAGAATAAATCACATAATGATTATCATCATCATCTCTTTCTTATCGTTTCAATGACAACGTACTGATTAAATCTAGATTGGTTGCATCCAAGTATACAAAAATAAGATTTTTTGTATTTTATTTTAATTCATTATAAATTAAAAACAAATTAATTTAATTATTTGAATAATTCGATAACAGATGGCACTAGGTGTAGTAAAAAAATATACAAATTAAATACTGTACTCTACTGTATATAATAAACACAATGGGATCTAACACAGGAAAATAGATCACAAATTTCGAAACAATTGTGATTTTCATTTGTAAAAAATTTCAAAATAATGAAAAATTTATGTATTTTTCATTAATTTGATATAAATTCGATTTATTCATTTTAATTAAATCTTTCAACTTTCATCTTAAACACAATTTCTCTAACAGGCTTCAATTAATGAGTTTTAATAATAATGTTTACTTATTCAGTGAGATATTCTACTTTAAATATTTAAACAAGTAACGTATCAGATCATTAATGCAGAATATATATTGAAATATACAATGTTTGAAATTATCAAACAGAAAAGAAAACAAAAATCTTCGTATAAAGTACTTCAAAAATAGTAAGTTGATATTTCTAAGGGTTCAACAGTGTTATAAACAAAATATTTATCGCCAGTAATACTGCATGTAATGCGATATAAAGTATCAAGTTTGTTTCTAACAAAGTGAAAAATGGCATGACTTCGTTTATTGGGCTGTAATTTGAAAAAATTGTACACTTATAAAATCTCACTGTCGTCAGTCTGTCCATCAGTCTGTCTTTCCTTAATCTCGAGAAGAGTTAGATACATGAAATCCGAGAACAGATATGGAAAGCTTAAAGGCAGGAGGCCCCGAATAACTTTATATGAACTTTCGATGAAAACCGGAAGTCACGTTATTTCAATTCAAAAATTTTTCTTGTAAGGAGTTAGATAGATGACGGTATGACACTGTTGCTAACAGGAAAAATATGATGTACATGGGCAAGACGCTACTAATTTGAGGTGGAGAGCATATATTTTAAATTAAAAAAATTTTTAAAAATATGATTAAAAATTTCTGTCCAAAATTGTGACGATGTCACAATAAATAATTGCACGTCTTTTGATTCGGAATCTTGCAATCGTTAAGAATTGTTTAATCCCGTAAACATTTTATATACTTCATATACAAAAAAAAAGTCATATTTTTAAAATAATTTATATACAAATTATATATTTCATTATATTTTCTGGAAAGTATCGATTATAAAGAATAATATACTTCGTTTCTTAAAAAAATTGAAAATATCTTTTCTGGTTTAAAAAATAAAAATGAAAACTGCTCTCTACTTATTGGCGTTTTCATTTTTCTTTTGAAAGTTTTGTACTTTATATTTTTAATAATATAACTGATATAAAAATGTAATAAGGAAAAAGAAAGATAAAATTTACTTTTAAAAATTGAATCCATTTTAACACAAAATATTTTGAATAGGTTTAGTATGACAATTCTTCAAAATTACGCAATGTATTTACGAACAATACAGTTTTGCTTAAACTTGGCACTTGAAAAAGGTTAAAATTAACAGACTTAAGAGTACTTTTTTGTTTATTTAATAAAACTATGCAAAATATTTGTTGTATTAAACTTTTGTAAAATACGAATAATTTTTCTTTAAATAAATCTTTCTGTTAAATATTTCTTTCATTCTAAATTAAAAATATTCAAATATTCTGTAAAATTTAGGATAAAGGATAAATTGTTTTCACAGACAAGCTTAATATTTAGCAAACAGCATTAATAATAGCAAACAGATTATAATTTGTTACTAATTATATATTTTTTGTTACACATTTGTAAAAAGTAAAAAATGCTGCTTTTAAAAACTAACTTTATTGTGCTGCTTATTAATAAAAAGACAATCAAAAATAATTTCTTTCTTTATAATTATTTTTTCGAAAAATTTTGATTTTAAAAGTTTTATATGTTAATTTTACAATATTTACAGCTCTAATACAACTGTTTACTAATATGAAAAGAATTCAACGAAATTATATAAGCTATATATAATTACCATAGTAGAATATACTGCCTTGATAAAATATATACTGTATAGCCTATATATTTCTTACGGATAAAGCCCGTAAATCGAATAAAGCAAAGATTAAGCCAGTAATGCTAAATTTATCCAAGTGTTTTGGTTAAAGCATGTAACAATCTATTAATTTTCAACTTTATCCGTATTATGTGCGCTTTATCCAAGTCATAAGCGGATAAAACTGACATCGACCAAAAACTGATGGATGAAGCAAGACGAAAAGCTTTAAAATTTGGACTTTATCCTCTCCATTTTGGATAAAGTGAGGAAAACATTTAAGGTTTTTTTTAGTCGGTTAATCTACAATCTTTCCAATACAGAGTGAATGAATAGACTTTAAAAAAATAATTTTACTTTTTAACATCAACTAGAATTTATTTTTCTGTTGCAAATAAAATAACTGGAAACATTTGTTTTTGTTCATTAGAATTTCTCCAGATTTAGCTTGAAAATCATAGGTTTCATAGTATAAATAAAGAGTATTTTGATTTACAAAACACCAATATTTAAGTTACATACATTTAAAATGCCATATACCAGGCATTGATCCTAATAAAAAATGCAATTGAAAAAATAAATAAAAGATGCTCTGATAAAGCTTTTAACTTTTTCTCTTTCTTTTTTTCGTGGTACTTACGAGTAAAGATAGTGTCGCAGTATGTTTCAGCATAATCTTGTGCAGCTCGAAAAGACTATTTTTGTGCTTATCTTCAATTGTATTTGTTAATATTATGTAGTTCTGAAAATTACAAGTGTTATTTTAAAAGATTTATCATAGACATGAAAAATAATCACCAGATTGATAAAAATCGCCGTGTTATCATCACCAAATAACTTGAAATAAATTACTATATCTAGCAACATTGTCCTGTTCCCAATATCTGCAAAGTAGCTAAAAACCAAAACAAAATGTCCATGCACATAAAAAGGCAACATTTATATTCCGCTGTATCCAAAAATAGACAGACTCTCCGTTATCCGAATGAAACCAAAATTTAAGTTTCTTCCATTACCGGTTAATCCTAACTTTATCCGATTCACAAGCATTAGCTGTAACATATATAAATGACTTAACTGACCGGAAGAATACTTAGAAAATTGTAGAAATTCTATCGATGCGATTTTAATAAATTATTCATTATTTCAAAAATAATTCAGGAAAAATTAATTTTTCTGAATCTCTAAGAAAATTTAAGGACATTTTAAATTTTCTGTAAATTAATTCTCGAGGAGAAATTTAAACCAAACGTTAGTAATTGATGTGATTTTGGCATGTAATTTTGATCTAATGTCTAAGTGATCGATTCTTGAATCTTCGTAAAATTACAGCTAATTGAAATTTTTATTCTTTTAACAAATCGTATTTGTTAAACAACTAATAAAACTTCTTAACAAAGTTTGACAGAGACAGATTCTCGATTCTTTGAAGTATGATTCCTTGTAATTTACATTGATTTGAATGCTTTTATAAATAGTTGACAAAACTGCTAATTTTAAGAGTGAATTTATGACAAGAGTTATCATTGCTATTGTATGTGCTTAACTAAAAATATACCCAACTGTTTTAATTATGTTAAAGATAATTAAGTTTAAATAAGCTAAAATTTTACATACAGGCTAATAATTTTTCTCGAAAATTATGTTGAAATTATATAACTGCATGCGCCGCTTCTTTATATTTGTTCTTATCTATTTGAATTTTTAAAAATAACAATAAATGAAAACATGAGCATCAAATATGCAAAGTTTTTTATTACATCAGAATAAAAACTTTAATCGACTTATGTCAAAGCGAATTCAATAATTATATACAACAAATACGATCATTTGACGATACATTAAAAAAAAACCTACATTTTTCAGGAACAAAATTAAATTTCTTAAATTTAAATAAAATAATTAAATGTTTATTATTATGTGTCCTATTACTTTCATTATTTTAATTTAACGTGTGAAACGAGGGAAAAGCCGAAACTAGACAATTAATTCTTAACAGAGCTTGAGTCTTATTAAATATTTATATTAAATTTTAAAATAAATGAGACACATAATATAATAAATTACATGTCACTGTTTTAAATATATATTACTAAACTAGACAAAAAAAGAGCTTTATTTATTAGCAAAGACAAGTTACTTTTTATGGATTTACATATTAAGAATATGATTAAAAAAATTTAATACAACTTATCCAATTTTAGCAACTTAAGCTGGAAGTCTTCCAGACTTATTGTCCGATTTTTTTTATTTTTATTTTTATATTTCTTATTTTTTACAACAACAAAATTTAGGCCATCATAACTAACATCTTTTAAAATATACGACTCCTTAACATTTAAATAAAATTTTTTTTTTCTGAATGCTTCAAAGCGAACTCGTTCCATCATTCTGATTTCAAAAACAATTAAGAAATCTATAATATTTGAGAATAGTTGATTACTTATCAATACAGAATTTTCTGAACCTTCATGCAATATTGATTTAGATTATTCGTGAAATTTACTATCTGGAATATTATAACTAATTGGAAATACGATT